GGCACCATTAATAATGCTAATTCAATTTGGGATATAAAATGTTATTTCCAGCATTACTGTACATACTGAAATCAAAACAGCAATTGGAGCTCTAATACTGTGTATGTGGAATTGTATCAGGAGCAAATAGCCAAATAAAACTTATTCCTGATTCAATGACTCTCTTTCCAGACTAATTCTGCCTCTTGTCTTGGTGGACAACTGACACAGCTTATTAGTATCTTCAAATACAAAAATCTGTAAGTGTAGATTTGATACATGTTGTTCAGTATATTAACATATAAAATTCAATACAAGATTTAACTCAGAAAGAATACCATCTATCAACATTCTTTTAAAAGGAAAAAAATTGCTGAAATTCTCTGAAAAAATACAACTTTATTAAATTAGTTTTATTATGTGAGTTTGATAACAGGACCATGTGTCCTTTTAAGCTGAAATTTAACATAGGTTCATACCTTGAAGCAGGAGGCTCTATAAAGGAGCTGGACAACATGCCCAATGCTAGTTTTAGAGGCTTGTGGAAACCGTGGCTCCAACCTTTGCACCACAAAGAGAACCAATACTTTTCTTGACAAAGCAGAACCATCCTCTAAGGCCAGGAGAACCAGCTTTAGAGCTTCTTCCTGCATTGCTAGGAAAAGTTGAGTAAAACCAAAATTTATCACGTGCAGAGATAAGTCTATTTATTAAAAGGGCAATCAGTATTCAACAATTTCTGCAGGTACCACATAATTAATAGGTAACTTAATGAGATATTCAGCTACACTTTTTAACCATTTAGGGGTAATTTTCAATTAAACTCTGTATAGATTTAAGAAAACCTTCTATCAAAATGAATAAACTTTTGGCATTAAGAGAAGTTTTAAGCACTCTGAAAAATTGACATGGAATTACCCAAGTCATGATTGTCAAGTGGGGTATTACTTGAAAACAAGAGTACAGCAAAGCACTAGCCTTTATGTTCACTTATATAGTTCCTATTCCATACTTTTAGAATCACTAGTATAGTAAACATCAAACATGAATTACATACCTGGTCCAAGAAACTGACAGCCCCTTGCCCGAACTGCTGCCCAAAGATTGGAAGAGAGTTGCTGAGGATTCTGGTGCTGGAGAATGAGTTCTGTAACTGTTCGTTCACCTAAAGATCGAGCAGCCCTCATGGCACGAATCCTGCCTTCTTCTTCCACCAATTGGCAGTGGACGAGAGTTACCAGCTTCCTCTGCATTGGGCGACTCAAGACACTCTGAGTAGTGCTATTCAGACCCACCCCTTTAAAAGAGAGTAAAAAGTTATTTCTTGGTTTACAGTGCAATTTTAGAATCCAGGAAAACTTCCTCTGATGGGCTGATTGACTTATGGGTAAGTGAATAGTTCTGGGTTCTACTAGAATGCTTAAACAATAAATAAAATTATACAAGTGAAGTCACACTTGCATTTTAGAAATATACAAAAGCTATTGTCTCATGCAAATGCAATGCTCATTATGATATTAAATATACCATTATTCATTTTAACCATGGGGGATAAAGGAAAAAAAGCCAAACCTTAACCATTAGTTTAAGAGCCAAGTCTTGAGGCCATAACAGTTCTGGCATATTATTTCATAGGGGTTAATCTCACTTTTCTAATGAAATAATAAGCCATAATGGCAAGGTAGTAATGGCAACTTCCAGTTTTATTATACCCCCTATAGTACCCTATGTAAAAATGGATAACAGGCAGGCAGTTCACTGTTGTCAAATGATGGAAAGCCCTTCTGAAACCAGTGGTATATTTATACTTACGCAAGTCATTCAAATAACGTTTCCAACATCATGTAAACTCTAAATTCACTACTTTATTTGATGTGGCTTGTAATGATTATTAGTAACTTATCACCAGTGGGTTTGGTTTATAATAAATATATTTTATTAACATTCATTTTATAGGCTATAATTTTTATGGTAATAGAAACATCTTTAATAAATATTTGTTTAGCATGGATAATTACATCTGATTTACCTCTAGCACTACTGAGTGGTTTCAGGTACAATGCTAATTCTTCTACACATTTCTTTGCTTCCTCATAATGCTTTGTGTCTTCAACTCCACTACACAAAGTAATGGGCTGTTGCTCAGGGACCTAGACAGAGGTCAAAAAAGGGGTCTGTTTGAGTGCTCACTAATTAATTAAACAAATGTTTTAGTCAGTATATTTTAGGTACTGCTACTCTCAAACTGATAACATCAAAACTCCCACTAAATTTACTGAATTCTTTCAAAAGACATTTTTTACACACATACACATAAACACACTTTATTGCAGTATTTTGGTTTGGTTGTTTCTGTAACAACTTTATGGAGATCCAACTTGCATACTATATAATTGGCCTATTTAAGATAACAGTTTTCAGTACATTCACATTTGTACAACCAACACATTTTCATTACCCCTAAAAGAACCCCACATTCTTTTAACGCCTCCTAAATTTCCTCCCAGCACCCCACCAGGTCTAGGAAAATACTTACCTATTTTCTGTCACTATGGATTTGCCTATTTTGGGCATTTCCTTTAGATAGAATCATAGTATCACACAATAACTTTCAAAGTGGCTGTACTATTTTATGTTCCCAGCAGCAATAAAAGAGAGTTTCTGTTGCTTCCCATCTACATGAGCATTTGGTGGTATCAGTCCTTTGGGTTTTAGCTATTCTGATTGGTGTGTAGTGGTATCTCATTTTAATTTGCAATTCCTTAATGACAATGCTGAGCAACTTATTTGCTCATTTGCTATCTGTATATCTTGTTTACTGAGGTATCTAATCAGATCTTTGCCCATTTTAAAATTCATTTTTATTACTGAGCTGTAAGAGTTTATATATTCTATATAGGTTTCTTATCAAATATATGAGATAATTATTACTCTCATTCTATGCATTGTTCTTTCCCTCTCTTGACAGTGCCCCCTGAAACACAAACTTTTAAATTCTGAGTTCAATTTATCTTTTGGTTCCTTGTGCTTTTGGTATCATATCTAAAAAACTACTGCCTACTCCAAAGTAATGAAGATTTATGTCCATATTTTCTTCTAAGATTTTTGTAGTTTTACCTGTTATGTTTAGCATTTGATCCATTTTGAGTTAGTTTTTGTATATGGTGTGAGCTAGGGGGTCCAACTTCACTCTTTTGCATTTGTATATCCAGTTTTCCCAGCATCTTTTGTTGGAAAGGCTGTCCTTTCCCCAGTGACTACTTGGTCAAAAATCATCTGACGATATATGTGAGCTTGTTTCTGGACTCTCTCTTTTTCATTTCATTGATATAAATGTCTATTCTTACGCAAGTACCACTGGTCACTAACAGCTTTGCAGTTTCAAAATCAGTAAGTGTGATTCCTCCAATGTTCTTGTTTTTCAAGATTGTTCTATTTGGTGTACCTTATGATTTCACATAGATGAGTTTTACTATTTCTGCAAAAAAAAAAACCACCACGGGGGTTTTGATAGAGCTTGCACTGAATCTGTAGACTGCTCTGAGAAATACTGTCTTCTCAATATTAAGCCTGCCAACCCATGATGAACACATAATGTCTTTCCACTTCTTTAGGTCTTCTTCAATTTCTTTCAGCAATGTTTTGTAGTTTTCAATTCCTCCTCTTTCTTTCACCTCCTTTGCTAAATTTATTCCTAAGAATTTTATTCTTTTTGATGCTAAGTGGAATTGTTTTCTTAATTTTCCTTTGGACTGTTTATTGTTAGTGTACAGAAACGCAACTGATTTTTTGCATGCTGATTTTGTATCCTGCAACTTTGCTTCAATTCACTTATTGGCTCTAAGAGTTTTTAATGGAAATCTTCAGGATTAAAATAGTGATAATTATGTATTAAAATATCCTAGCCTCAAATTTCGTAAACATTAATTGCTTCAGTTAGGTAGGATATGATAAGGTCATTACTCATTTTACAGAAAAATAATTAGCTCATCCTTAACTTTATGGAAAAAAGTAGCATTGGTTATTTGTTATTAAAATATTATATTTCTATTAAAAAATGTTTCCAAAATGTCATACTGGAATTTTCAAAATAAAGAGAAATGATTATGAATTGAAAAACTAAGTAGGGCATTAACAAATACTTGGTAATGCTGTTAGTGACATCATCAAGATAAGTTTGTAAATAAAATAAGTTTTACCTTTGAATAAGCTATTCTAGAACTGTTCTCTTCATCTCCAACATTTATAGTATGAACCTTTCTACTTTCTAGCAGCTTATAGGAAGATTGATCTAGAAAACATATGGAGCCAGATCCAAAGTTCTAGTATATTTATCCAGGAAAAGATCTGTGGCAAATATATGGTACTTCACTCACAATATGCAAATTAACTTGGTGAGGGATTATTTAAGTGAATCATACTTAGCTCCCAAAAACCTGCCTCTCTTGACTTTATGAAACCTTTGTGAGGATACTACTTATCTCTAATTTGAGAATATTGCCATAAGACATTTTAAGGTTGTTGAGAACATCTAAATGGATGGTATTATGACTAAGAAACTGAGAAATACAGCACCACCACTATGAATCTCCCATCAAACTGGAATAAAGGATTTGCACAGTGCCAAACAAAGTTTTATCTATTTAAATATAGGGTAATGTTGCTTAATTTTAATTCACAAGTTTATCTCAGAAGGAAAACACACACACACACAGAAATTAATAAGTACAGTTAAGTCATCCATCCTACCTGAGCACCCACTAGCTGCAGCAATGCTGAGTTCACAGGAAGGAGCTCAATGTCTGTATTGATAGTGGTCTGGTCAAATGGGCAAGCCTTGCGGTGGAGTTTATTCAGGCACATCTTGCAGACAGTATGGCCACAACCCAAACTGATTGGCTTTCGAATTGTTTCGTCAAAAGTCTGAGTACAAATTGGGCAGGAGAGGAAATCCGTCCATTGTGGAGCTTGTACAGGCATTGCTTCTGGAGTTATAATTCACTAACACACACACACACACACACACACACACACACACACACACACAATCTAAAGCAAAGATTCCACTGGAATCAAAATCTTTGAAAAAAGTTTATCTTTTTTTTTTAAATATCTTCTGTAAATTCAGTCAGCACATAGTGTGAAATATAACCTGAAAAACAAAGAGAAAAAAAATGAGTGTCTTTTTTACAGCTGAACTATGCGTTCTTAGCCTACCACCTACAACCTTTTATACACGTCTATATTGCCACACTTCATCCCTGTCACTTCTATGGAACTAGAGTCATAACAGCTCATTTAGTCTCATCATCCTTTCACTTTAGTGATGGGGAGTAGACCCCAGAATGGTGAAATAATTTGCGTAAGGTGATAGCTGAGGTAAGTAATTAGATACAGGACCTAAGTTTCAAGTTTATCTAAGTCTGATTTTTTTTAAAAAATCAACCTTTTTAAAGAGACTAATAATGTTTCTTGATGTGTAAACCAGTTGAATGAATCTGTTCAGCTGTGAAAATTAATCAGGTTCTATATTTACGTACACTTCTGTGTATGTTACATCTCAATAATGATCTTTCAAAAAATTGGCCTACAATAAAACTATCTTAAAATATTTTATTATCAAATTCAGTATAGGTAATGAGATAAAGAGACTATGGGATTTTTAAGGTTTATTTTTAAAGGTTAGGTATTCTTAAGAGTTTTACTTACTGGTAGATATCTTTAAGCCTCTTGTACAGCTTACACTTATTGCTATAGTGTGTTGTGTTAGAATAACAGTTAAGACTGTTCACTTTAAAAGCTTTTTTAAATTCCCAAATTTAAGAATTATAACCTGAAATCAATCTAATATTGTATATCAACTATATTTCAGTTTTTATAGAACAAATATAGTTAACTAGAACCCACATATAATCAGACTGTCTACCCTCTATTTTTGGAGGGGGATTAAAAGCCAAATCACAAAATTCACCACCTGTGTCTAACAGAAATTTTCTTTACAATAAAAGCCAACTTGAAATTTCTAGCATATATTTCAAACAGTATCTGCTACTACACTTACTCTAATTATAGTTTCTAAAAATGAGATTTGATGCACAGAACAATAAAGTGACATAGTATTACAAGTTTTAAAAATTTTATTATGCTCAGTAGAGACTGCTTACAAAGAGCAAAAAATTTTTACTAAATCTCTACTTAACAAGTAAATTATCTACACACCTTATTCTTCAAGCATTTCATTTAATTCATGTTTTACTGAAATAACCTTAAATGAAAGCCCATTACTGATGAGAGAACAGTTTTAATTAGTTATGCTAAAAATTTTATCCATTCATTCAATAAATATTTACTAAACACTACTACGTACCAGTCTCTGTTTGAATTGCCTAGGGAAATAGTGAAACAGAAGTCATAATCTGCCTTCTGTTTAGGTTTCTTTTCAAAGTATGCTACCAAATAAATGGACAATGAAAAAAGTTTAATGGTCTAGTAAACAGTCATGAAGTTAGTTTTATGTTCAGGATCTACAATTAAAGTTATCTGCACAGGTGCCCAAATGGCCCTTGTAATAGTAAGAAAGAGTAAATAATGAAATTGCCCACATTCTGATTTGTTTTAATTACAGATACTTTTAATAAAATGCATCTGCAAATAGATTATGAGTAGCTACAAGTACGTTTACATTAAATTATTACTTAATAAACTGAGACCACTGGAATGCTAAAAAAGAAAATACAGTATCTGATTACTCAGTTGTACAGTCAGATGCATGATGTTACAGAATGCTCCAAAATAAAGAACAAATAAGGTAAATGTTTAGAAGATAGAACATTCAGAATGATAACTGAGTATTAGTCAGAAAATGTTTTCTGACACTAATTTAAGTTTATAAAGTATCATCCACATGAATTTTCTACAGGTTAGAATGGCAGTTTATGTTAATGCCTGTAAAAAAATCATAACCTGTGTTAATCTCTGAAAAAGTTAATGGTTCCTTCCTGTTTACTACAGTTGCCCCTTGAACAATGTACGGGTTGCAGGGTACTGACCTCTCAGTGCAGTCAAAAATTTGCATGTAACTTTTGACTCCCTTAAAACTTAACCACTACTAACAACCTACTGTTGAGCAGGAGCCTTGCTGATAACATAAACCATCAATTAACACTTATTTTGTATGTTGCATATATTATATAATGTATTCTTACAATAAAGTAAGGTAGAGAAAATAAAATTTTCCAGATAACTGCAAATCTCCAAAAAATTTCCTGATATATTTATTGAAAAAATCCACACGTAAGTGGATCCATGCAGTTTAAATCAATGTTGTTCAAGTGTAGCACAGAGAAGGCACATAGTGAATCTGTGGCATCTTGCTGCACTGATGGACAGTGACTGCAATGGGGTATGGGTGGGGACTTGATAATATGGGTAAATGTAGTAACCATAGTTTTTTCATGTGAAACCTTCCTAAGAGTGTATATCAATCATACCTTAATAAATACATACATACATAAATGTTGTTCAAGGGTCAGCTGTAGCATGGTCTCGCAGAGATTTAAAATTTGTTGATCATAAAGATAAAACACAGTACTTTATTCCCTTAAACATTATAGACTATACAAACTCAAAAGAGCACAAAGTATAAATGTTTTATTGCACACCATTATAATTTTTATTATATGTATAGCTATGTGCCACATACTGTTCTAAACACCTTTCACAGGGCAAACCTATAAAAGGTAGGTAATTACTTTTATCCCAATTTTATAGATATGTGAAATGGAGATTTAAAGAGGCTGAGTAAGCTAAAAAGAAATACAGCTGAGATATTAACCCAGATATTCTGGCTCAAAACCCAACCTCTCAACCATATTACCACCCATCAAGGTTTAATACAAAGAAAGAAGAATCACTTGCAGTTTCAGTCAAAAGCCATTGTCACAAAGCTGCTGACTTCACAGTAATTCTGTTCTTTTGGCAAACTTACTGCCAAATCAAATGGTCAGGTCACTGTTATAATCTTACCTGTCTTCTCAACAAGATATGAAACAGATGACTACTTCCTCCTTCTTGGAAGTGTCAATGAACCACACTGCCCTCAGGCCTCCTAATGCACTGGCTATGCTTTTCGATCTCTTAAACCGAATGCCACATCAGGTCTCTGTTTTGAATTTCGTTTTCTCATCATTCTCCAGCTAAAAATCCTGAAATGGCTTCCTATTACTTTTAGAATAAAATCTGGATTTCTTATTCTAGTTTACAGAGCCTTAAGTGATAAGACCTGTAATTATCTCTCCAAGTTCATTTTCTAACACTTGTCCTGGTCACCCCCTACCCTCCAGCTACTCAAGTGAAGCTTGTTCCCATCTCAGGGATGTTAGTTACTAGCTATTCTCTTTCTCACCTCTGAACTGGGAGCCATTCTTTATCATTTAGATGATATCCCAAATGTCAACTCAACAAGACTTCCCCTGACCACTTAAAAACTCGAAAACATAACCTCTAAATCACTTTGTAGCCATCACTATGTTTAAATTCTCTACAAAACATTGCCATTTTCTCTAAGGTGTACTTCATTGCTTATATTTTTATTTGTATACTCAATGTTTATCTATTCCTATTAGAATATAGACTACCATGAGAGCAGACCTAACGTGTTTTGTTCACTAATGAAAACTGTAGCTACTCACAACAATTCAGGCATACTAAAAATCATGCTTATAATTTCACAGTTCAGAGACCTGTTATAATCTATTCATAGATCTCTAAGGTATTTGAAGACTCTAGATTAAGAAATTCTGACCTATATTATTCTTTCATGAATCTTAAAAGTACACCAAGTATTTGAGATTTATTACATGTCCAGCTCTGTGGAATATAGAAAACAGGCAGAAAAGATGGTTAACATCAGTTTTACAGTCTTAAAACATCTCACTGCTCTTGCATATGATTTCAGATCAGTGCTATTACGACAGATTTTCCAAATTATTTTGTTGTAGCAAGAATTGCTTACAACAGACTCATAGATCTTTGTCAGTAAAAGATACCTTAGAAAACATCTAGTTCTAGGCCAATTTTCCAAGGTGAGGTAACTTTTTATTTAAGCCCCCATCAATAGCATGGTGTTACTAAGCTTTTTCAAACACTTCTTTTCATTTGGTCTTTAAAACCCGAAGAAGTTGTAATCATTTTCTTTCTTTTTGCAGAGAATAAAACATTCAGAGAACCTGTCCAAGGTCACACAGGTAGTAAAAGGAAAAGTTAAGACACAACCACCTCAGGTCAGTACTTGACACTAAAGCCACATTCCCAGACACCAATTTGACATGGAGTAGACCAAAGACAAGGCAAGTAAAATAATTTCAAAGTCATACAGCTCAATATTGAATGGCAGAGCGAGGATTAGAAACCAAATCCTGAGTCCTAGTTTAAGCAACCCCTGCACCCTAACTGGATTATAAACCCATCACTGAATGAGAGATTTTGAAAATATCCTTGCATATTAAAATTACATTTAATATTTGGCTTAGATAAGATATCTATTAACCAGAGAAATAATATGTTAAATTGTTTATATACACATACTCATTCTGGGAATAAGATTCTTGACTTTCATCAGACTCTAAAATGTTTTGTTAGGGGAAGGAGAAACTGGGAAGGTAAGAATCACTGACTCAGACATATTGAAATAAAGTAATTGTTGAAAACATAAGGATATAGAAAAAACAGAAACAACTATTTATATGAATATAATTTCTTATTTATACCGGTCTCAACACTCATAGAATTCTTATTCATGTGTATCAAAAAAATTTTAATTATACTGAAGTGTCTCTCTCTCACCCTTGTCTCCCAACCCTTCAGTCCTCATTCCTACCCTCCAGACAAACCATTTTATTACTCCCTTTTTAGCTTCCTTTTCCTTACAAATATATATTACTATATACAAATATATGTACTGTATATAGTAATATACAATATACAAATATATATTACTAACTGGAAAGAAAGCATTTTAAATACTGTTATTCACAACTCTTTATCCATTAACAACTTCTTAGAAATTATACCTAGAAAACTTTTTATATTCCCAGTAAAAATTAAACATTCAGCTGCTTGCAAAAGAAAAAAAACTATTGTTCTTTATTATGT